AAAAACTGCATACAAAATAAAACTGTAAGAAATACATTTACACAAATAAGTCACATTTGTTAAACTTTCTGATTTATGAAAAAAAAGCATTTTAAACAGACGCGTATCCTACTTTTTGGTGTTGTTGATAACTTTAAGCGAATTGGATTTACACAATGCACCTAAACGCTTCACGATACGCACTTTGTCTCAGGCATTCTCATAGGGCCCTGATTGGATGGCGGATTCTCCATTCCGACGCATGTCCGTCAAGGTCAACCAATCAGCTTGCACGTTGTTGGTCGGTGCACCGGTTTGCCGGTCGGGTTCTAACTTGATAAAGGGGAAGGAGCTGTTGGAGGCAGCATTGGTGGTGTACTGTTATGGACCCCAGGGGTAATGTCGAGACAGCAGACCATCCGGAGGGGTTCTATTTGCCGATCCCAGATGAAGCACCGTGCAAGAAGGAGCAGGAGAAGCTGTCGGGGGTCGTCAAAAACGTCCACAGAAAACTGCGCAGGAAATACAGAGAGGGTAAGCAGTCGGCCCCCTCTGTCTATTTATGGCTCTGTAGCCGAGTGGCTAACTCTTAGCTCACAAATGCCAAATGAAATCCTTTCCGTTAGCAGTTATTTCGGTAAACACAACTTATTCTGCGTGCTAACCTGCCTAGCTGACGGTCTTGTTTTGAGGCTAGCTAGCTCGTTGTAGAGGCAGACTGCAGACGACAGCAGTGTGTGTTGAGTTGAGCAAGCAAGGCCTTTAAAGGTAACGTTACTTATTAACGTTACACACAACATGTTACTGCTGTTTGTAATCTTAATGTCTGTACGGTAAACATGTCTTAACCCATCTCTCTTCCAGAACCGGTGTAATGATGAACCAGCTCCAAACTTGCTCTAGCACCAGCATTTAGTTCGTGTTGGTCGAAAAGGTATACGAAACTCCAGCAGGGTCCTAATGTGACTCTAACATACTGTAGCTTATCAGTTAACAATCATTGACTTCCTAATACCTCTTTATCTTCTTACAGATACCTTGGCAGATTTTTTTTTAGACAATAGACACAGCAGGTGGATGGAGGATTATGGATAAAATCTCTTATTGCAGTTTGTAATTTTATATTGCCATATCATTATGTATTGTAACATTATGTATTTTGTGGAAAATCTAAATTATTTATACTCAAAATAACTGATTGGGAATGCCTATTTTTGTCCAAGCTGGTGATTTTGAATACCTGACAATTCAAAATCATTCATGTTACTGCAAAAATCCTGTAAATCCACTGTGTCACCCATGAACATCATATACCAGAGTTATTACTCTTTATTTCTACTTTTTAGAGAAATGTGCCCCAGTTATTGCTCATAATTAAAATTAAGGTTCAAACTGACACTTCAGATATCTCTTTAGGTTGGATTTTCTTCTGCTTTTGTGATTTGAGGAAGTACAAAAAAACAAAAAGTAAAACACATGACACTGCATTTCTGAGGCTGTGATTCTTCAGCTAGGGTTGCATTTTAACAAGAGTTGGCGTATGTTCAGCTCTTATTAGTCAATTCAGATCCTAGCATGATTTTAAACAGGAAGTTTGGAAAAAAAACCTTTTACACCACATCAGCACTGATGCATGTTTTCTGAGTATCAGAGTGCTAAACATCTTCATAGCACAAAGAAGAAACTGGCATTTGATTTCCAACACTGACTGAGGGGATTATTCAAGTCATGGACTTAAATTTGAAACCAATTTGTAGTTGAGAGTAGCTTCCAGCAATGGTGAAGTGGCCTGGATTAAAAAAAAAAAAAACTTGCTACAATACCTACCTACATAGTCATTGTGTTGTTCTTGAAACTGCACTCTGTCTCATTTGCTCTTTTTGAGAAAATGCACAGTCGTACTGGGAAACTGTGTAGGAGTGGAATGCTTGAAGGCAAATTCAAAACGGCAGGTGCAAAATCTTTTTCTTGATTAAAGAAAACATCATCTTTAGCAGAACAACAACACAGTGTGCAGGCTGTAGGATTTATTTGACTTTGCAAGTATAAAAGCCACAGATACTTGATTTTAGGTTGTGTCCTGCTTGAATGTTGGGCTGGTTTGTTTCATTGTTACTGCCCCTGAATTTGGAAAACAAACTACACTTGACGATTTCACTGTTTTCCAATCAAAGTAAACAGCAGAGGGCAAACATCACAGTTTTATGCTGTTATTTGTGTAGGTCTGCCCTACTTTCCACCTTGAAAGCACTGCATGGTATGGTGTTTTAAAATCATGAATTAAGCATTTTTAAATCAGAAAATATTAATCTTAGGAGCAGACTAGTTGGTTGCTTTGAGACCAAAACAGCACAAAGAAGTTGTCCTGCTTGCAGAGCTCATGATCGGTTAATAAGTAAAACATGACCTGGTAGGCACCGCGTTGGCTCACAGTGGTCATGCTTTTCAAATGCTGCAGTTTACCACAGCTCCCCTTGTTGTCCTTTCATTTCTGCAAATCTGACAATTTTTCCTTGTGGTCATGAGACTTCTTCCTTATCACTGTTTGCCTGTGCTACAGGCTGTAAATATCTGAGCAGCTGTGAAGGACTGCTAAGCTAAGCTAAAGGGATTTTATTTCGTGGACATTAATAGAATTGTGAAATGGAAATTTGAGGTAGATTATTAGAGAAACAGTTCCACTTCTGTGTTGTAGAAACGAGTGAGCATGGGCAATGTAGCAGGAAATATGGCCTGAGGCGTTTCCAAAGCTGTAGAGTCATGTTGTCATGCGATTGGATGACAAAAGTTGGCAAGTAGGTTGTATTTGCTTCTTGTTGTGGACAAACATGTCAGACTAAAATGGGATGTGTGAGTTTTTGTTGTGTTTATTCTGTTTTGATTTTTTTTTTTTTTACCTCAGTGGGTGACTTTGACAAGATTTGGCGTGAACACTGTGAGGATGAGCAGACTCTGAGTGAATATGCCCTCGCCATGAAGAATCTTGCAGACAACCACTGGAACAAAAACTGTGAAGGAGAGGGACGCATCGAATGGTGTCGCAGGTATGAATAACTTCATGTCCTCAAACCTAATGCATTCAAGCATGTATTAGGTATAAGCTAATTGATATTGGATTGTGTGTAAAAATGTGTGTTGTTATATCAACTGTTTTATATGCTTGAAAGAATAAATCAATCAAATCAAATCAAATCAAATCATTTTTCAGTCACCATTTTAGACCTCATAACTGTAACGGTAAGGTTTGAGCAGTGCTTTTAATTTCTCTTTCACAGTGTCTGTCAAGAATATTTTTTGGATGGTGGGATGAAACGAATGTTAGAAAAGGATGAGAAAAGTGCCACACTCGCCATGGGTCTGACTGCAGAATCTGTAAGTGCCCAACCATACAGCACCATCCCCAGGTAAGTTACAGTAAGAATTATACCTTGAATGCAGATCACAGAATCTGTGTGTCAATTCCATACTGTATAGAAATTAAATTCTAACTCTTTATATTATACATTTCTTGGCAGTTATCATACAAGAAATCAAAATGTTTAGTGCCATCATTGTCCTTGTGTTCTGCTGCGCGTGCCTCGTGATTGTTGTAATTTTTAACCCCTCCACTTAATAGTTTTCCATTTTAAATGCTTTGCACAGTCTGTCTGCGCTTAGAAATACACCTTTTTTACTTCTGGATTTTATTGTCACTATTTCTAATTATGAGAAGAGTGTTTTCTCCTTATAAAAAAAGTACCTGTGGTTTTGGGAAGTTTTGCCAAAATGCTTATCACCACAAGTGTTTATAATTTTTTTTCTTTCTTTACAAAATACCATCTGTAATGTAGCAGAAATTCAGTTGTCTCCTTTATATAATTATAAATGATGTCAAACATTATTTAAATGTTGTTATTCAGATGTATTGATGTCACTCTTCAAGGCAAAAGAGACCTTCTTGGATACAAAACTTGTCTGTGTGTTTAGCAGTAAGCCGTTTCTTGTCACCCAGTGAAGCACAGTACATGTGAGTGAGCTTTGCTGCAGTTGACAGTTCAACATTTGTGTTGCAGTTCAATCTCTGAGCTGGGGAAAATGCGCCTTCTTGACGTGGGAAGCTGCTTCAACCCGTTCTTGAAGTTTGATGAATTCCTTACAGTTGGTATTGACATAGTGCCTGCAGTTGAGGTACAAGTGCTTCTTCATTATGTCCACTTTTTGTTGACAACTTGTTTTAAATCCTTGTTAACACATAAAACGCATGAAGTCTTCCTGTCTGAGTGTTACAAAGCTAAAGCAACAGCAGAAATGACTCATGCCAGGCTTTCACTTTCACGGTTTGACTGTATGAACAAATTTAAGTGAAAGTAAAGGTGCTGCATGTTCTGCAGGTAATGAAACTAAATGAGTGGAATGACCTTGGTAGTAGGTGTAAAAGTTCACACTGGAATCCTGAATTTTGCTAACTTGCTACCTTTTCTCTCCTTCAGAGTGTGTACAAGTGTGACTTCCTCAATCTTCAGCTCCAGCAGCCTCTCCAGCTAGCAGGTGACGCAGTAGAAGCCTTCCTCCGCCAGCTCCACAACCCCATTGACGCTCTGCCTGCTCAGCTTTTCCATGTGGTGGTCTTCTCCCTGCTCCTGTCCTACTTCCCCTCACCATACCAGCGCTGGATCTGCTGCAAGAAGGCCCACGAGCTGCTGGAGCTGCACGGCCTACTGCTCATCATCACACCTGACTCCTCCCACCAGAACCGGCACGCTCTCATGATGCGCAGCTGGCGTGTTGCGGTGGAGTCACTAGGCTTCAAGCGATACAAATACGTCAAGTATTCTCACATGCATCTCATCGCCTTCCGTAAGGTGTCTCTGGCCACCACCAATGACCTGGTGTCGCGCAACTACCCCGAGATGCTCTACATCCCCCAGGACTTCCATTCCAATGAGGAGGAAGATTGCGCCGACATGCCCGTGCAGGTGCGCTCTGAATTTGAGGATGAGCAGCTAGCTTGGAGCTTCACAGAGCTACCTGACACGCCCTGTGATTCAGATTCTGGAGAAAGTCAGAGCAGCTCAGTGCCTGGCTTTCAGGAGCTAGAAGACCCTATCCTGCTTCAGAGCTAGGCTACACCAGCTATTTCCCCCTCCCTCCCCTTCTCTCCTTTTCGCTATGTAACTCCCCTTCAACTGCTGCGCTGCCAAATTCAACCTGCTGCATTCTTCTCCAACTTATCCTCCCTCTCCTCCTCGAAACAATGCAGTTTGCACAGTGTGAAAGAGAGAAGTTTACAAATTATTTTCTCATATCCACACCTATGAGTGCACACACATACACTGACACATGTACACATACATATGCACTTAGATGGATATATTTTCATAAATAGCTAGGTTTTTTAAGAGTTGGAAAGTGAATGCCCTGAAGATGTGTAAACGCCCTGCTCCTTGAGTTTCAGCCTATTTTTCAATCAGCTCTCAATAACAAAAGTTAGCTTGTCTACATTCCATACTCAGCCTCTGTTTGAATAAGCTAGTGAGGCAGGCTGCTTAGTACAAAAGCCAAATACAGCAACCTGAGCAGTCTGACAGGAGTTTGATTGCACTTGAGAGGTGGAGATGGAATGACTGGACTTGGTACGCTTGCTACTGTCACAGTCACGCAGCTAGACTTTCTCTAAATTCTTGATGGACATTTATGTTTCCAAGTAAAAGAAAAAAAAAAAGTTTGATCTCAAATATTCTTAAGAGTCAAAACATTGGTGTTGTCCATTGTAAAGTGTGGCAATGCCATTTTAACTTGGCATCTCCTGAATGATTTGTGGGTCTTTTACAAGAAAGTGGTATTTGTAGCATTTTATATATTTTCAAAACCAAATGGTTAGGAGTATTACTAGTATACTAATGTGAAATGTTAATTGTGTTTACTCATTGTGTAACAAGGTAC